CCAGAATCCACCATCCACCACGGAGACAGAGACAGTTGAAGGACACCCACCTGTGATTCCCTTATCTTGCCATCCTCCTCCCTGCCAGCAGCCTCACAGGGCCAAAGGCAGGCTGGTGGGAAAGCGCTGACCAGCAAGGCCACAGGCTCCCCCTCCCTACAAGCAGTTGCATTCCTCACAACTTTTAAACTCCTTGCCTCCCATCTTTCGGGGAGACGGGACAAATTTGAAAGCTCTCGTCTCCCGGCTGACGTCACCCAAAATAAAAACTCTTTCTTTGCCATAAGCCTGGCGTTCCAGTTTTATTTGGCCCCTCTTGCATGGTGGGTAAAGAACCTGGGTATGTGTCTGGTAACAGTTGGGCTTTAAGTTTAATTACATGGAAACCGATTATTAATAATAATAATTTAGAAAAGCACGATGCTTTTGTTTTAAAAAGTTCACTTAAACTCAATTCATGTCAATTGTTAAGCTTGGGACTATCTTTTCTTGACCTATATCTACTGAATCCTTCAGATTGAAGGCCCTGTAGACAGAGCCCATTTAAGAAACCAAATAGCTTCTGGTCACTTAATGTTACTTTTTCTTTTAACAAATTTCACTCTCCTTTCTCTTATCTAATAATTCTTTCCTCTTCTAGCAAATATTGTCTCCTCGCTTATAGTCTACACTTTCTTTGAATTAAGAAGGGAGAAAAACCAATGCTTTCTTTAGAAATCAAAATTTTTTGTTCCCAGTTTCTTTATTAACATGCAAGTGGTACTAAAGGTATAAATTAGAGCCCTTAGAAAAGAACAAAATCTATAGTAATGGTGGAGAGCGATAGGAGTCTGTAAGAAGAGTTGAACTAACTGCTAATGTGTCAAGGCACTAGCCTTACATACAGTACCTAGATCCATCCTTCCTTGATCTTAGTCTGTTTGGTAGGGGTGCAGCTGATGCCCATTCTCTGGGTGAGTACATGACCGAAATCTAACCAATCAGAGAATGCCTTTCCCCTTGCCTTTGGGGATAGGGACAGGATCTAAATCTATGGTTCTCAAGATATTGGTCTCAGGACCTCTTTGCACCCTTAAAAATATAGCTTATATCTATTATATCTATTCATATTTACTATGCTGATTTTTTAAAATATAAAACTATACAAATACACATTCCATTAGCTATCAGAGTGATGGTATCATTACACATCATGTAGCCTCTGGAAAATTTCACTGTGTCTAATGAGAAAATGAGAGTGGAAAGACAAATAATGCCTTAATATTAGTATGAAAACATTTTTGACCTTGCAGAACCTCTGAAAGGGTCTTTGGGTCTCCAGGTATTCCCAGACTGACTCAAAAACTATTGATCTAAATTATAGCCTAGAGAAGCCAATACCATCTTTGCCACAATGTAGGAAGAGCCAATGTGAAAATTAAATCAACAAAGAAGAAAACAGCTGAAAGATGGCATCTTGATGACATAGTTTCAGATCTTGAATCTAGCCACATCCTGAAGCAATACACATATCTAGACTTCCTACCTGCATGAGCCAATGAATTCGTTTTGGCTTATACTAGGATCAGTCATTTGCAACCAAAAACGTTCTTGTACATCTGAATTTCCAGTTGGGACCTCAGAGAAAGAGAGTAAAGTTGGGAAAAATACAAAAGACCAGGGCACAAAACAATTTTTCAAGCAGCAATCTGGGCAGCAGAAATTTAATACCAAAAGTGCAAGGAAAAGTTCAACTTTATTTTAATAAACATGGCAGACATTGAAAAACATTATCCTAGTTGTTCCCAAATAAGTTCCATCAAACTCCATGAGCAATTGAGGTGGTTCAGCCTCTCTTCACTAAAAGATAACAAGGGCATCAGAACTGAAAGCAAAATGTCAATTTCATTAGTAGGAATGAATAAATTTATCTCATCAGACTTGGGAAAACTCTAATTTAGAAAACTATTTCTGGGGGAAAAGCATTAGGCTACTTAGGTCAAATATTAAAAATTTACCCATATTCTCTATTCTATAGATCTGTATTTCCTCTAAGAGTATGTCTAATTTCTAAATCCTAGCTTTTAAAGAAAGCTTTGAACCTTCTTTTCTGATAGGTTGAATTTCTAATTTATATGTTTTCATGAGAATACACAGTAATGTAATCTATCACTGCCTGTACTGGGTTGAATAGTGTCCCTCCAAGTTTCACATCTACCCAGAACTTCAGAATATGACCTTATTTGGAAATAGAGTCTTTGTAGATGTAACTAGTTAAAATTGGGTCATACTGGAATACAGTGGGCCTTAAATCCAATGACTGGTATCCTTATAAGAAGGGCAAGATACACACAGGGAAGAAAGACATGTGAAGACAGAGACCAAGATGGGAGGGATGCAGCCACAAGCCAAGGAATGCCAGGGATTGCTGGCAACCACCAGAGGCTGGAAAGAGGCAATGAAGAAGTCTTCCCTAGAGCCTTCAGAGGGAGTATGGCTTTACTGACAGCTTGATTTCAGACTTCCAGCTTCCAGAACTGTGAGAGAATAAATTTCTGTTGTTTTAAGCCACTCAGTTTGTGGTACTTAGTTACAGCAGCCCTAGGAACTAATACACTCTCTGATTCAGCCAGTCTAAAATTCATCTTCACTATAATCTAGCTTCCTTTGGGGAAAAACAGGTTAAAATCAACCAGAGCTTCACCTTGCACCCATTTTTTTTTTATTGTGCTAAATACACATAAAATTAACCATTTTAAAAATAATTTTATTTATTTATTTTTTCCCCCAAAGCCCCAGTAGATAGTTGTATGTCATAGCTGCACATCCTTCTAGTTGCTGCATGTGGGACATGGCCTCAGCATGGCTGGAGAAGCGGTGCATCGGTGCGCACCCGGGATCCAAACATGGGCTGCCAGCAGCGGAGTGCGCGCACTTAACCGCTAAGCCACAGGGCCGGCCCATAAAATTAACCATTTTAAAGTGTACAACTCAGTGACATTTATTCAAAATGTTGCTTGCACCCATTTTTAATTGCCTTAGTTTTAGTTTTGGCCATTAGCCAATCAGGAAAGAGGAAAGAGCGGAATATGCCTTAGAGGAAGAATAATCTGTTACCAAATTCATTCTTGCTCATCTAGTGCTAATGAGGAGAGTCTGACCCCAGAAAAGCCTAGTAAACTTGAACCTTATTTATATTGAAATTGTGATTAACCACAGAAAAACTCAAGTACCAGTAGAGTTGTGTATATACACTACTGGAAAAAATTCAACCTTCATTCATTCAGTAATTCATTTCTACTGATAGTTTCATCTTCATAAGGAAAATCATTATGAAAGCCAGATGTTTACCTATCTTTTATGTTAATTTTCAGTTAATGTAAACTCCTATAGTTTTCATTATTAAAACCTTAAGAATGGAGAGAATAAAGCCCTGGGCACTTCTAATTTTTCCCATACAAACTTTCAACTTTTTTACCTCTGGTTTTCCCCCTTCACAACATATTTCCTGATACATGTCAATATTTGGAAATGCTACTCTCTTTCTACCTTCCAGAAAATTTTAATATTTGATTTCAGGATGAATTTTGAAGAAATGTTGCACTGTAACAGGGATAAAAGAGCATGTGCATACTGCAATATTCATTCAATAACCGGGAGTAAAAGAAGGTCATACTAGATAGTAAGGGCACTGGGTTTTTCCTGTGTAAATTTTGTTACGCCATGCTAAATTTGGCAGAGATGAATACACTTGAGAAAAATTGTTGGAAGACAAGCATCTATTATAATTCTCCAGCTTAGTTCTATTAATATTACTTTTTTCAGCAATTTTAGTAGTTCAGCAAACCAACCTCCATATATCGTACACTAGAAGGCTTAATTCATATTCACCTTTCCTAATTAAATTTTAATGAATTTCACCATTACTATTTTCATAGATGCAGAAAGTTAGTCCCTTGTCTTCTATATTTATTTGTGAAATAGAAGTGCCAGCTTCTTTCCATGAATATTTGCAGAATAGTATTCTAAGTTGAAGGGTGCTTATTTTCTCTACCACTTTACTTAAGGGGTGCTTATTTAGTCCACTACCTTGTTTAAAAGATGAAGAAAAAGGTCCAAACTTGTTTAAGGTCACAGGACCTGTTAGTGAGCAGCTTTAGAATTTCTCTCTCTAAAAATTCAAGATATTTTCTAATCATTTCAAATCAGAGGGTGCTGTAGAGAATAAAGATAGGTTAGAAAGGTATCAATGTAACCAACTATTTGTTCATCGTCTTCAGTTTGAGATTAAGGAAACCATTCTGTTGGACATACTTCCACATATATATCTCTCAGTTGAAAGTAGTTAAGAATCCCTTAGCCACCAGGCTGTATGGTTATAGATTATTATAGGAAGTGGGTTCAAGATCTGGCTTCGATTTTTAATCCACTGTCAAAAATACTAGCAATACACATACTCAAAAAAATTTTTACTAATTTATTTTACCCCTCCTCAATCCACTAATCATCCCCTTTATACTCCCATTATTTAAAATGAAATACATCACAATCTAAATCTTCAGTTAGAGGATACGCTCATGTTCCAACTGGAACAACAAAAAACTCATAATCACCAAACTGACTGAGATTTTAGCTGCATACAAACGTTGATTATACATTTTTTGACACTTTGCTTTCATTTTTATGCTTCCCAGGTTTTAACATGGTTGAGAACATGAGGGAAAAAATATACATATGCGTGTATGTAATTTTTATTCAGAAGTTGAAAGAGCTAGGAAGACGGGAACTACGAAACGGATGTGAAATAGCCACAGGTGATTAATAACATTTTATGAAAGACACATGAAAATAAGTGGCAACAAAGCTATTTTCATGGTCGTCTCATATCCCACAAATACTGAAATGAAACTCAATTGCCACGGCCTAGGTTCCAATTTTGTGATTGTGGTTCAGGTGGGAGGAACACGTTCTTATTCTCCAAGACTGGTGCTTTTCATCTAAAAGCAGAGACCGTGGCGATGACGCTTAAGGCCACAAAATCACGGGACAGCGGGAGGAAAAGAAACCAGGTATCTCCACTCAAGATGCTGTGCCGCAGACTCCTAAGCTTCCCTTGTGAGGATGGTCACGCAGGTGCAGACTTGGAGATGGGATGCTGAAGCACCGGAGAGGCGGAAATCCTGCGGCAGGGCGAGCCGACTGAAGAAACAAGCGGGAAGATGAGGCGGGACAGACTTCCTTCTTCGCCCACGCCGGCTCTCTGTCATAGTACCCGCGGTTCGGCCACCCAGACAGCTTTCTAAGCTACCTCCAGGTTCTCTGGCGGCTTCGGGGGGTCGGCCGGCCGCTCCCGACGGCTGCGAGGAAAGGCGTCGCACGCTGAGCCCACCTCTCGTCCCCTCGGGAGAGCGACTCGGCGGCCTCCAGAGCCGGCCCAGGGCGCCGACAACCGACGAGGAGCCCGGCTCGGCAGGGGATTGCTTCTGTCTGGGCCGCGGCGGAGGCTGCGTTCGTGTCTCGCGCGCACCCGCTCCGCGTTCTTCCGGCCAATCCGGAGCTACCCGCGCGCCCAGGGGCGTTCTCCGCTCCTCCCCGGGCTGGGCGGGCTCCTTCGCGCTGCCAGAACTCCGCAAACGAGCTAGCACTCCTCCCCTCACTCTCCACGAGTTCCACGCCTCGCGCTGTGGCTCCGCCCTTTCTCGAGTCCGCCCCCGCAACCTCCAGAGCGTGTGGTCTCCTTTCCCCTCGGTCTCCAGCCATCTAGCTGCCCTGGGTCTCGCGCTCCGCAGAGCGGCCAGCGCCTCTCCGGCCTCGCTCGGACGCCTCCGCGCGCCTCCTGGGGAGGCCACCGCGTCCACTACTCGCAGCTCTCCGCCTCCGACCCGGGCTCGGGGTCGCGCGCCCTGACTCCGCCCCCTCCCGCGGACTCGCGCACTCCGGGCTCGGCCTCTCCCGGCTCAGGCCGCCGCGCGCTCGGCCGCCCCCCACCCCTCCTTTCCCGCTCCCCGGGCGCTCTCGCTCTCGCGCTCTCCGAGGCGAGCGCGCTCCCGGCCCGCGCGCTCCGTGCTCCAGCTTCTCCCGGTTCCTGTCAGTGCGGTGACTGCGCTGGGAAACATGGCGACCGAGGGAATGATCCTCACTAACCACGACCATCAAATCCGCGTCGGAGTCCTCACAGGTAACCGGGGGAGGAGATCCGGGACCGCCGCGGCCGCTGTCCCCGACTTGCCTCCGGCTTCTCGCCTGTGGTGACCCTTCTCTGCTGCCCCGGGAGGAGGGAAGGCTGACGAGGGGGACGGGGGAGGGCGTTTTACAACTGCCGACAGCTGCTGGAGGTTGGGGTGTTCCCGCGGGGCCCCCCGGGAGCTGGGGCCGGCCCCGTGGGATGTCAGGCCCCAGTTCCTTCGCAGCCAAAGTCCCTGGCCCCCGGGGACCGAGGGGCCGGTGCGGCTGGCGCTGCGGGGCTCCTGCTGCCGGCGCAGGCGGCGGGATCCCGGCTCCGCAGTCTGAAGCACTGGACTCTCGGCAGGCCCGCGCTTCCTCGACTAGTACTCTTCCGAGAGAGGGGGGAATCCCATTTCCACCCTCCCTCCCCTCCCCACACCCGGGCGGCCCTCTAGCTGTGCATGCCCGGGGCACCGGCCGGACACGACACGGGGGTTCATCCGGCGAAACTCTGCTCCGCCTCCGGCTGCCCCTCGCGAGCCAGGCTTCCCCTTAGCCACCCATGGGACACCCGTCGTCTCCCCCGGGAGGTGGGGGATCGTCTTACACCCGGACCTCGGAAAGTGTCTGCCGTCCGCCTTCGCGAGCAAAGGGCCCTCTGCCCGCCCCTTCCTTTCCTTAGAGCGACGGGCTGCAGCCTGCGGCCAGGGATCCGGCCTTTTTTACTTGAGAGGGAAGGATTCCCCGACTCGGGCTCCTCTGTCCCCCTCCCTTTTGGGAACCCCCCCTCTGGATGGTCCCGAGGTTTGCGAGGAGCGCACTTTTCCCGGGTCGCGTTTCCCTCCCTCGCGGACGCCGTGTGTGCTCTGCATGTCTGATTCCCTGGCGTTGTATTTGGGTAATATCTCTCAGTTCGGCGATAGGCAGTCGCTGCAGGGCATGACTTCCGAGATGAATAGCAAGCCGATTTGTAGGGGTTTCTGCTGTGCTTCTGTAGTTGGCAAGGTTTATGTGTAATTGAGTGGCGAGGCAGGGGTTAAAGAACTATATTTGGCATCTGAGGGCTTAGTTCGAAGAGAAGGAAATCCAGGACTTAACTGATGTGATTTCGGAAAAAGAAGCGATGTAGACGGGAATCCTAGTGTCTCCCCCCACCACTTCTGTTTAATTTTTTTCCCCTTGTCAAATTCTGACAGGTTGAGACGGTGCTCGAGAAGGGACTAAATTGAAAGAGACTTGCTTTTATTAGGTAGAAAAAAATCTCTGTCGGTAGTTACTGAATGCAAAGCCTAAACTGGCTGCCGAGTTTTGTGAAAAGGAGATATCCGTGGAGATACCCCTTCCTCTCTTTTAAGTAAACGGATTGCCTTTTTCTGGTATTCTTTTCAGATGTTAATGGTGATTTATTGAGTTTTCCTAATCGACAGCCCCTGGGATACAGAAACTAGTCTAAACCAGTTGCAGGGAAAGGAACCCCCAAATCAGAAGATGCGCTGTTTTCTCCTCTTGGTGCTGAAACAGTTGCCTTGTGCGAAGATTGAGTTATATCTCAGAATTCTTAGAGTTGACATTGCTGATTTTCAAAGAATCTAATCGCGAGGTGTAAAAGTGTATACGTTATATCAACCATCAACTTACACTTTAAATTCTAGTGCTTTGAAAATTAATAGAGTAGTAAGAGTGAAGCTTAGTAGAAGCCAAAGTATGGCAGCTGTCCATGGAAATGGAAGGTCATAGATGTTTTAAAGTTAAACCATAGAGATTTTTTTAAAAAAACATATTTATTTTTTGTTTACTTAAGCTTTTCCTAATAGCTTCATTTAGTGAATCATCTTACCTGGGTCAAGTGACTTAGTAGATAGGTGTTGTACAGAATGCTTTTAAAGATGCAGCCCTTATCTGTATCCCTACAGTCCAAGAGGGATAACATGGATATGCAAACAGCTAAAGAAATAATGTAGGTAATTATTGTGCTAAAACTGTCTGAATAAATACTCATGTGTTTGGGGGCTAAAGGTAAAAGGAATTCCATATTCAGATGGATTAGGAGCAAAGGTGGTTACCTGAAGAGAGAATTAGTACATTTACCAAAGTGTAAAGAAACTGGCATTTTTAAGGCAAGGTGAAAGTCAGCGGCAACCTTATAAATGAATATGTTGGTAAGGATAAGGCTCTTGAGGAGAATAAAAATGTAGTGCAACGGCCTTGAAAAGCTGAGGTGAGATAGGTGGCAGAGGCAAAATGTCAAGGAGAGAAGATAACTTTGGCAGTGGAATTAAAGATAATTTTGAGAATTATCTCATAAGAATGAGGTACAATAGTTTAGTGGTAAAAGTCTAGGGTCAGTAATAAGGATGTAGCTGAAGGAATGAAAAGGAGGTTGCAGGTTTGGGAGAAATGGTAACAGGACAATACGATTTGATGATAAAATGGATATTTGAACTCAGAAATAACTCTGAGGTTTTTACTTGAAAAGTTATTGATATAAATATTGCCTGCTATGGTGGAGGCTGGAAACATGGAGAAGAATCAGAGGAGAGAGCACCAGCCTTCAGTCTGCAAATAGTGGATTTTACTACAAACAGCTTAATATTTGTGGTCTTGACATTCCATGTGATTTTGTGGAAAAAAAACTCCTACAAAAATGAAGCTATGTTGTGCAATTTTGTGTCTTGTAGAACTTCAAGTGGTGCAGTTTTATTATGTAAAATTATTCTTTACTGAATTTAAGTACTATGATTTCATACTTAAGAAAATTGAGTTGAGGCCACACTTAAAACTGATTTTATGAGTTATAATTTGTGGCTCTCTTAAAGGTGAAAGGCTTGTTTTATGAAATATCCTCTGTGTGCTTCATAATAGTGATTTTAAGTATTTTATCTAAATCTCTTTTACAGAGGTAGTGGAAAGTAGTGTCTACCCATGCACACATTTTACATTGTGTTAGTAGTGTGGTGACATTGTATTGTCATTTATAAAGTCTTTAATTGACTTCTTTTTGACATTTTTTATTTGTTGAAAGAGAATATTTATACTTTGAAACTTTTCATCTTCTAGATGTTTTTGTAATCCTCGTCTCAGCTATGAATTTGGCAAATACAGTATACAGTCTATTGAAACTTCTCATCAAGTGAATTATTAGAATTTTGAAAGAATAATGGTAGAAAGGAAAATATTTAGTAATGGCGTTTCTTTTGTGCTTGACTATCTTGAATCATTTAAGACTTGAAAATCAGATTATGATAATGTAACATGGATATTTTAGTTATACTAATTATTTTTTATCAGGAAAATAGGGAACAGTTACAAATATAAAAATAGATTATCATGGAAACATTTTATGTTGGAGATTATTGTCCATCTCTGACAACAATATCTTTATTAGTAACTATCTTATGTTTATTTGCTAGAAGTGAAGGTTATATCGTTTTTGGTGACCTGAGATCTAGTTTTTAATATACGTTTTTTTAATGTTCTCTACTTCTATTGCTATTTATAACAGAAACTAAAGATAATGTGATGATGAATAACATGAGGCAAATAAACAAGTATGTGCTGCTTTGAAACTAGAAACAAGATGTGGGGTAGATGTAAGATTTTTTTTTCTTTGACAGCTTCAGTAGTAATTATACTTCAGTAGTAATTATACTAGAATATTTTAACAATTACATAGCAGGCTCACTATATTTCAGATGTGTCAATTGTCACCTACTTTTTTCTATTTCTAAAGAAGCTGTTTATCAGAGGAGCACACTAGTTCTACCGCTATAAAAGCTCCACGGAAACATCAGGCAAATAATGAATACATGTATGTATGTAATATAGAATGAGATAGATTATGTTCCATTGGCTATTTAATAGTGTATTAGTTAGCCACTGCTAATGTTTGGTACCGAAGCACTTAGCTAAAGATGATAATCCGTTACCTAAATTTTCACTAACAGTGGCACGGATGAGAAAAAGATGCAAATTTTTAGGAAAGGGCATTTTAAAATCATATTTTTGCTCTAGTAATATACATTTTTGTTGCACTAAGTTGTAAATTTGTAATCAGCAAGAGATATTAGAACAAATATAAGACTAGATAATAGAGATAAAAGACTAATTGTAAGTTAGAATATCAAAATATTAGTTATGTGTGGGGAGTATTTCAGTCATTCATAAGTAAAGTGATTCAAAATATTAAAAAACCAACGTTCTAAGCCAAGGAGATGATAATCCTGTAACTCTGGAATTGTTCAAGCATTTATTTTTTTCATTCCTCAACCTTATTCTTGTACATTATAACTGTCAATATTATTTTCTGAAAAGCCCATTTATTGATAAGGATATATAAATATATCTTTATCTTGAGAATAGATTTTGTCATTAAGCAGGCAAATCACTGTTGCAGACAAAACCTAAATCTTACCAAATGGAATTGTGTGTTCTGGCAAACATACCAATATTGATCTACATGACTATGGTTAAAAAGAAACCTATTTCTCAAGCTAGGTCATTCTTAAATGAATTTTTGGTTGGAAGTAATGTGTAAGAGAATTAAAGTAGGAAATCAATAAGTTAATTTTTAATGAGTATACTTATTACTATCATCACTAGCCAAAGACCTCATAAACTATTAGTACATAGGTTAGAAATTAAGAGTTTTAACTATATTAAAAACACATGTGAGAGTTTGACTAACTGAGGTATATGGTGGAGAATCAGCAGTATGTTACTGGGGAGGAAATGATGAATAAGTGTCTATGTTTACTGGTACAGGTGATAGATTCCTGGTTAAATTGAATAAGGTGCTTTTTTGAAACAGTGAGTAAAATAGATAAAATCTATACTTTGCTCCTGTAAATAGGATTGAAGAACAATGAAGCATATTTGGAGTTTGAGATGTTAAAAACAAGAGATCCTAAAAAAGAAAGTAATGAAACCGCAGGGATTTCTTCCTGAACATCTGGGCAGAGAAGATAAATACCAGCGAAGGAGAAAAGATTATTTAACCTGCTTAAAAGTAATTGA